ATGGAGATTTTTCTCAAATCTTTTTATTTCTTTTGAGACAGTCTCATATAGCCCAGAGTGGCTTTGAGCTCACCATGTAACCTGAACCTCCTCTGATCTATGATCCCACCTCCTAAGTGCTGGGATTTCAGCCTGCCCTACCCCCTCCTGTTTATGTGGTACTGGGGTCGACCCAGGACTTGGCAAGCAAGCACTTTAATTGAATAGTAACCACTACCCCCCCCAGGCCCTCCATTTTTTGAGTCAGGGTCTTGTGTTGCCCAGGCTAGCCTCAAACTCTCTCTGTAGCCAAGCATGTGCTTGAACTGGTCCTCTTGCCTCCACCTTGCCGGTGCCATCATTTCAGACATGTGCCACAATACCTGGTGTAGGGATGCTAACTTGGATTATTTTCACTGTTGAGTTCGTAGCTCCTAGCACATGCTAGCACTTCATAGCTGTTTATATTAGACTCATGTATGTATCCTATGACTGCCAAGGTTCACAGGCGTGGGGCATCTCCACTAGCTGGGTGGGTGAGTTTCCTTGGCTAGGCATTTGCACGCACGATTCTGACCATCTGACAACGTGGCATAGGGAGGAGGTGGCTGAGTCAGGGAGCCCCTCCACCTGTCCAAGCCCAGGCTCCCTCTGTGGCCCAGGTCTTCCTATGGCTTGGGGAAGGTGCAGGTGAACGGAAGAAGGAGGCAGTGGCCTGGGGCCATGAGTACCTGAGAACTCACCCAGCAGAGAGGAGCCTGGACACACCCATCATTCTCGTCAAGCAGGGCCACGAGCCTGCCACCTTCACTGGGTGGTTTGTCACCTGGGACCCCTACAAGTGGACGGTGAGGCTTAATACCCCTCCCTCATCTTTATCCAGGTGTGTGGGGGATGGACACTGGAAGAAGCCCTCCTGGGCTGAGGATCCCCTGAGTCAGGGGGACAGAAACCTGATCTTGTCCTTTATAAAGACTCCTGCCTGGGCTTTGGGGAGCTCCTTCCCTTACCAGTCCTGATAACAGCCCCCACTCCTGCCCCCAGAACAACCAGACCTATGAGGAGGTGGTGGAGAGACGCCCGAGACCAGCATCTGCCATCTCTGAGATAACAGCGGTGAGTGTGGAGAAGTTTCCCTGGCAGCCCCAGATAGTGGTCTGGGTTCATATGGCCAGAGGTGGAGGGGCCGGGGGTTCAGATGGTGCCAAGAGCCTGCGGTTCAGTGTGGGTGCCTGTTCTCCATCTTCCAAACCATGAGGCTTCTCTCTGGACAGGAAGTACATAACTTCCAGCTAACTCAATGGCCCACTGACAATAAGGGAGGTCCCTCGACCCTCCTGGCCTCCAGGGATTCCCAGGACAGCCCAGAGAATGATCCAGAGCTGGGCCTTGGCGTGGATGGCAAGAACCCCAGCAAAAGCCCCAGCAGTCACTGCAGCAGCTCAGTGGTCAATGGGAGCCTGCCCCGGGAAAGGCTGGTACACCAGGCCGTGGAGGACCTGCCACAGGGTGTGGACCCTGCCTGCAAGGAGGTGGGTACCAGATGCTGCCGTTCTCAGTACTGGCCTGCAACCTAACTCTGCACTGGAGGATGCTAGGGTACCCTCCTCCCCCACCAAAGACAGGCAGTGAGCACACTGGAGAGGCATAGAATGGATGACATATCTGGGTGGCGTGGGAATCTGGCCTCCAGTAACTCCCGTTCCTCCCCAACGCCACCCCTACCCCCAGTTCTATCTCTCAGACTCTGACTTTCAAGACATCTTCGGGAAATCCAAGGAGGAGTTCTACAGCATGGCCAAGTGGAAGCAGCTGCAAGAAAAAAAGAAGCTGGGCCTCTTCTGAGCCGGGGACCCCGAGTTTCCTCCTGAATTCAGTAACTCCCCCTTCTTAATAAATGTCAGTGGCTGGTGTTGGGTCTGGCCTGTGCACCTTCAAGCTCCACCGTCTGGTGGAGTCCCCCTCTCAGCAGCAGGGCCCCATGACACTCTGGGCCATATCCTCCTCCGTGGAAAGGGTTCCTTCAGACTGCTCTCTCCAAATGACCCCATGAAGGGAAGGAGTACGAATGTATGAGACCCCAAGAAATTCTCTGGTGTCTGTGTAAGAAGACCACGAGGCTTTACCTTGTGATTTTTTATAAAAACTCAACAACCTAAAGACAGCTAGAGGGTAGGGAGAGGGCTGCAGTGTTGTTCCTAACGGAATTTTGGGCCACTGCGGGAACTGGACTGCGCCTGGGTCCCCAGAGAGCCAGAAGCACAGGCAATGTGTTGGAGCTGAAGGCAGTCCAGGGCCTAAAGCTCCCATCAGCAGTCGGCGACACAAAGCTGGCCTTGCCCAAGGTGTGGACACAGCTTGACCCACTCAGGGTGGATCTCACCCAATCCCCAGGCTTAGTCCTGGAGGGAGATTTTCACAAAGAGGGTAGCTGATGGATGCTGGTCTCCGTTCTTAGACAAGAGGTGGACGTGGCGGTACCCTGGCAGGAAGGACAGACAGTTCTGGTCACTCGGAGAGGATACTCAAGGCGTAGTGAGGGGCAGGCTGAGAGAAGCCAGGCTCCTCCCACTGCTCCTGGCTGCCCCCCTGCTTCTAATACTCACCTTGCTTGAGGCTGTTCCAGGGGATGGTGCTCTGGCCAATAAAGTCGTTCTTAGAGGAGGCGTCATAGTCCTCTACTACAAAGCGGACGAGGGCAAGGTCGGGCACGGCCACTTCAAACTCAAACTCTGTGTCCCACCATGGGTTGAAGCCTAGGAAGGACAAACACTATACCAACAGCAAGGTCGCCAGCACCAGCAGCCTGGCCCAAAGCAGCCAGCGCATACCGTACCATTATTGGTAATGACTGCGGTCTGACGGCTGGCTACGTCCTGGCCCACGCCGTGGACCTCCACTATCACCTTGGGATCCACGATTGAATTCTTACTCTTGTTGACTTTTGGCAGCTGCTGTCCAGAGATGACCTAAGGAAACGTGGGGACAGTGAGCATCCTGGGATGGCAGTGAGCAGGAGGGACCCCCATAGGCAGCCCTCCCTCTGTGTCTGCCCATACCCGGACACGGAGCCTCTTCTGGGCCCACCAGGGTCCCTGAGTCAGGGCACGGGGGTTGAAGGCGGTGTCGGGGTCTCTCAGGAAGGCAGGTTTCAGCACATACCCGCAGGCTCCGTTGTCCTGGAAGCGGCCCAGGTACACATCCATTTCTGGTCCCGGGGTTTGGAAGTTCAGAGCCACTGTTGGTAGATTAGAGTAGCTGCAAGCTGTGGGCTGGCCCCAGAGTCCTGGCCCCGCCTGCTCAGAGTGTGCTGTAGTCCAGGAAGCAGCATCCAAGATGTTCTGGTGTCTCCTGCCTTCCTATCATCCTAACTGACCCACCACACTGACTACATGCTCTATGTGTTTGTGTGTGTAACACAAGTGTGTGTTCACATGAGTGTGTGCCTGTCTTTACACATATGTGGAGGCCAGAGGTCAATGCCTGACATCTTTCTCAATTGCTTTTTATTTTTTTTTGAGACAGGGTCTCTACTGAACCCCGAGCTCACCAGTTTATCTGGGCGGGCTGGCCATGAGCTAGCTCCAGAGAGCAGCATGTCTCTGCCTGCTCGGTGCAGGGATTACAGATGTGTCTACAGATGTATGTCATCACTCCTCTTGCTTTACATGGGTAGGAATCCCAGCGCAGGGCCTCATGTTTGTATGGCAGACATTTTGCTGACTGAGTCATTTATCTCTCCAGCCCGTTTTGCTGGGTTTTGAGTCAGGGTCTCATATAGCCCAGGCTGGCCTTGAACTATGTAGCCAAGTAAGACCTAACCCACTCACCCTACCCATCCTTGCATCTACCTTAAAAGTGCTGGGATGGCAGGCGTGACACCACTCCCATCTCCGCAGTGCAGAGGATTGAACCTAGGATGTCATGAATGCCAGGCAAGCACAGCTGAAATACACGTTCCATTTCTGATGGCAAAATTCAAATGGCTGGCGTGCACACCAGACAGACTTGCTGGCCGGGCAATTTCCATGCTCAGCTCTTGGTCCACATCCAAACCTTCTCAGGTCCCCAGACCTCTCCCGTGACCTCCAGGGCTTTGGGCCCCTTCATCAAGGCCGGGTTCTCTTTCTAACCTCCCTCCAGCCCAGCCGGTCCGTACCAATCTGGCAGCCCCCATTCCACATCTCCACGGGACTGTAGTTGGAAGAGTCTGTTCTTCTACCAGCTGGGTATATCCTGCTCAGGTGGCTCACGTTGTGGCGGACAAAATTATTTCCTGAGAACAGGTGGGGGCCAAGTCATCAGTGAAGGCCTTGGTGTGCTAAAGGCGCCCAACTGCACCCCATCTTGCCAGCTCTGCCCAGACACAAAGCAGGGAACACCAACTTGGGACCCCTGCAAGGGTGAAGGGCAGGCCTGGTCTTGACAAGTTCAGAAGGCCAGGACCAAATGTCTGCGAGAGCAGGGGCTCACCTGATTCTTGAAGCAGCCGGAGGGCACGGTTCTCAGAGAAGGAAGCCATCTCGTAGAATGCCTGCCCAGAGGTGCTAGGATTGGAGAAGCCACCGAAGTGGACACTCTTGCAGTAAATGACCATGTCAGAGAGCTCCGGCGCCAGCTTTAGCTTATCCTCCTGGAGGCCACGAGGAGGCCCCGGTTAGAGCCAGAGGGTAGGACAAGGTGGGCACTGAGCACCAGAAACCCAGACAACAGAGAGAGAGAGAGAGGAGACAGACAGAGAGAGGGGGCAGAAAGTCTGAATGGCAGCCATAGAAAAATTAAGACGAGGCAACTGTCCCATGGACTGGGAGCGGGAAGGACTCGGGCCACCCCATCCCCGCAGCTTCCCCTAGAACCTTGGACTTCTGCTGCACTTGGCTCCGCACTGCCTCGTCCTCCATTTCGGCGGCCTCATCTTCGTCGGACACATCGGTAGTCTCGGGTCCATTTTCTCCTCCAGCAGGCAGCAGCCCTCCAAACTTCTTCCCTTTCAACAGGATCTTGCCCTTCAGTTGCTGGGGACAGACCGCTAACTGGTTAAGACCCATCTAGGCCTCCCAGCCAGGTTGGCTTCCCTGCCTTCAGGGTACCCGCTCTGTACCTCAGGGGAGGGTAGGCTCATGGTCACCCCATCCAGGGGCTGGTCCAACAGCATGGGCCCCAGGATGGCCTTCAGGTGACGCGCCATCACTTGCTGTTGCTCCAGGCTGCAGTGATTCTCCAGGGACAGGATGACGGGGTAGGGGGACGCCTAGAAGCCCCAAGATGCATTAGAAGGAATGGCCATCCCTAGTATCCTCTCCTCACTCCCATGGGCACACCCAACCTTGAAGGCGTAGTCGCGGATGGCCCTGAGCACGTCGTAGAAAAGAATCTTAGACGTAAAAGTGTAACCATGGTAGATGATGGGTTCCTGATTGGGACCATCCCAGCAGTCGAGTTCTAAGCAGCGACAACCTTTGCACAGAGCCCTGCAGGGAGTGGTGACAGGTAGGCTAGGGCCCTCCAGGTCTTGTCCCAGGTCCCACCCTGACTCGCCCCTAACAGTTCTGCCCCCGGGACTGCACCGGATGTAGGCCTCTGTGCTGCTGGGCCCTGTGAGCTGGTCTTCCAGCAGGTAGGTGTTGTGGGAAGACGACACTAAGTAGTGGCTGAGTGGCTGGTCCATGTCCTGGTAGACACGGCGGTGTGCCAGGCTGAAGGCGCTGCCATCGGCTGATAACAAGTACATGAGGAAGCCGTCCTTGGTCATCTGCCTCTGAGCCTTGGCTAGGTAGGAAGAAGCCAAGGTTTCCAGTCAGAGCTAGTTGCCTAACCACTGTGGAAAGACAAGCCTTTTCTCCACTCTGCCTGCCCACCCGCCTTCAGCTAGCGCCCTGCAGCCCTGGGGAGCGGACGTCTCAGGCTCCCAGTGAGATTGTGGTTACAGTGTGGTGAGGCCCTGTCTCTTTTCCTTCCTTCCTTTCTAAATGCCTCCAAGCTGGGTGACATTGCCTCAGAGTTGAATGCAGGCTCTCACCCAAGCACTCTACCCCTGTGCTGTATCCCTAGTCCTCTTTAACTCTGTACTCTGAGCCTGGGTCTCACTGAGCTGACAGGCTGGCCTGGAAATGGTGAGCAGGGCTGTGTCTTCTGTAGGTCATGTCTCAAAGCTGCATCCAGAGCAGAAAAAAAGAAGGTAGTAACAATGACCTAGGCTTCACCAGCTGCTTCTTTCTACGTCTTGGGATAGGGACACCCAACGCCCCTTGAAGAAGGGTCTGAAGGGAAGTGAAAACCAGACAGGGCAAACACTGGAGCTCTCACATGGGATAGACACCCACACACTGATCTGCAGCCCTGGGGGTGGCTCCCTCTAGCACTTCTGTCTGTCTGTCTGTCTGTCTGTCTGTCTGTCTGTCTGTCTGCAGTTTCATCAGAGTCTCCCAGCCTTGTGGCTCTGGGAGGCTGGGCCCTCACCGGTCTCACTGGGCTCGTAGCGCTCAATGAGGGAGAGAGCCAGTGCTGGGCCTGCCGCCTCCTCCCGCTGCTGATGCTGCAGGAAAGTGACTAGCTTCTCCACTGACAGGGTCTCAGCAGATCCTGCAGCCTCTGCAAAGACACGGTCAATCTCCGCCCGCTGGGTCAGCATCTTGTAGAAGGTCTCAATCTCCTCATCCTCCAGAGAGTCTGTCTGGGAGTGGTCACATTCCTGCAAAGGCAGCACAGCCCATGGGCTCAGCCCAGGCCCACGGCCAGGACCGAGGCCCCACAGCCACTGGGAGGTAGCTCACCCTGAAGATCTTCCTGGCGTAGCTGTCATCCACCTGTATGTTGAGTTCCTTCAGGAAGTCCTTCAGCTCCTTGAAGTTCATCTTGTTGTCCTTGTTTTTGTCAGCCTTCCGCAAGCAGGAGTGAATCCAGCTGGGCAAGCAGTTAGGAAAACACACAGAAGCCTGATGCCCACAGAATCCCAGCCATGTGAAGCCACAGCCACCTGTGGGGCAGTGTCCTGCAGGCCGGATGGCCAGGAAGCAGAGGAAGGACCTGGACGCCTTCCTTCTGGGGTGTCCTCTGCCCTCCTTTTCTTGCTTGTTGGTTTGATTGGGACTAGGGACTGAACGAACGCAGGGCCTTACACCGCACTCCACCCCAGTCCTCTTTACTTTGTATTTTAAGTCAGGAGCTCCTGAAACTACCCAGATTAATGTAAACTCATTTTTATTTATTTATTTTATTTTATTGGTTTTTCAAGACAGGGTTTCTCTGTGGCTTTGGAGGCTGTCCTGGAACTCGCTCTTGTAGACCAGGCTGTCCTCAAACTCACAGAGATCCGCCTGCCTCTGCCTCCCGAGTGCTGGGATCAAAGGTGTGCGCCACCACCGACCAGCCAGTTCTTTAGTTCACTTAGGTCTTGAACTAGTTATCCTCCTGCCTCAGCTACCTGAGCAGCTCGGATGACAGGACTGTACCACCAGGCCCGGCTAGAGGCCTTGTTTTTTCTGTTTGCTCATTCTGAAACCTGATGTTTGAAAATATTTACTATAAAAAGGTTCACTGTAGACAATTTAGGCTCAGAGAAGGAAACCTGTCAATTACGCCCCCAGCTGATGGACCATCTCTCCCGGTGCTAATGCCAGCACCACCATTATCACTGCAAAGCATGCCCTCTGTTTCTCGAACCATCACCAGTCAGCCTGCCTCCAGTGCTTGAAGCTTAATGTACAGAAGCGCAGATTTCCAGCCACTGATCAGAAAGTGGAAATAGATCACGAAAGCCCAAAGCCCGGACCAAGCCATCATGACTGGGGCATCTCGGCCCCGTACTACCTCACCCGTCTTTCCTCCTTGCAGACTCTGAGGAACTGGGGGCGGGGGGGGGGGGGGTCTTCTCTCTGCCTCCTTAAAATTAAACAGAGTCAAACAAAGATAATGAACTTTATGGGTGTGTTAAAAAAAAAAGGACAGTGGAATTTTTGAAGAATTCATAAAGGAAACAACAGTATGAGCAGCATAAACAATGCTATAAACTATAAAAAAAAATCTAGTACCAGGTGGCACATCTGGGAATCTCAGCACTAGGGAGATTGAGGCAGAAGAATCAGAAGTTCTAGGCCATCCTTCACTACATAGCCAATTCCAGGGTAGCCTGGGCTACATGATACTCTGTCTCAAAACAGAAAAGCCAAAACCAAACAACAATAAAATCTAAGAAGTGCTGGGAGGTAATGGTGCACACCTTTAATCCCAGCACTTGGGAGGCAGAGGCAGGCAGATCTCTGTGAGTTCAAGGACAGCCTGGTCTACAGAGTGAGTTCCAGGTCAGCCAGGGCTACACAGAGAAAACCCTCTCACAAGACCAAAACATTAAAAAAAATAATAAAAAACTAAGAAGAAATTTACTTATAATAGAACAAAATGATTACAATTATTTGAAATTATTTTTAAAGTACAAAATTTAAAATTCTGAAAACTACACAAACACACACACACACACACACACACACACACACACACACAGTAAATCTTCAACAAATGGAAAAAGGAATAATCAAATGTTAAAACATCTGTCCATATTCATGGATCAGAAGACATGATATTTTCATGCTGAGAACTCTCCAAATTAATCTATGATCCCTATCAAATGATGTTGGTTTCCATGCAAGAAATTGACCAATCGATCTTAAAATACAAGCGGGAAGTTAAGGGATCCAGGCCAGCCAAACCAATCTTGCAAAACAAAGAGCAGACTTGGACAATTGACACTTCCTGATTATGAAGCTTACTTCAGAGCCACAGGAGATGAGGGAGTGTGGTGCAAGGATAGTTCACGGAAGGACAGACGAACAGACAAATGGAATAGAACTAAGTCCGGAATAAATACCCATTTTTACAGCCAAGGACCGCTCAATAGAATAGTATTTTCAGGCCCATGAGGTAGCACAGCAGGTAATAACCAAGTTTGGTTCCCAGAACCCATATGGTAGAAGAGAACCAACTCCTGAAAGTTGTTCCCTGACCTCCACACATACTAGATGGCAAGCGTGCAAATACACACAACAAATAAGTGATGTAATAAAAAATAATTATGAAAAATTAGTGTCAGCCAACAGTGCTGGAACAACTGCATATCCAAATACAAAATGAAAAAAAAAGTAAATAGATTTCCTACATCATACCACACACAAAAGAACAAAAAAATTAATCAGAGATTTACTTCATATCCAAGACAGTATAACAAAAGAGAAAGACTAAAAAGTGCCGATATTGATGGAAAGTGGAACCCCTCCCACACTGCAGGTGGGAGTCTAAACTGTTGGGGTTTCTTTGGAAAAGGGTTTGGCAGGTTTGGAGAGACTGCTTAGAGGACCAGAGTTCGGTTCCCAGCACCTACATGGTGCTTTTCACAATGGCTTGTAACTGAGCTCCAGGGGATCCAGTGTCCTCTTCTGACCTCTGCAGACATTTCACACACATGGACATATATGCACACGCACAGACAGACACACAACTAAAATCAGAACAAGGGGCTGGAGAAACGGCTCAGTGGTTAAGAACACTGGCTGCCGGGCTGGAGACATGGCTCAGAGGTTAAGAGTCCCGGCTGCTCTTCCAGAGGTCCTGAGTTCAATTCCCAGCAACCACATGGTGGCTCACAACTATCCATTGTGGGATCTGGTGCCCCCTTCTGGTGTGCAGGTATATATGGAAGCAGAATGTTGTATACATAATAAATAAAATCTTTAAAAAAAAAAAAAAAAAGAACACTGGCTGCTTTCCCAGTGGATCCAGGGTTTAATCTCTAGCACCTACATGGAGATTCACAACCTTGTGTAACTCCAGTTTCAAGGGATCCAACACTCTTTTCTGGTCTCCTTGGGCGCCAGGCATGGACGTGGTACGTGGACATACATGCAGGCAAAACACCCATACACTTAATGATAAAAGCAAATCTTTTTTCAAAAAAGCAACACATAAATGTTACCATATAACCTAGCATTCTCGAGACAAATGAAAACACACACTCATACAGAACATATATGTTCTAGCTTTCGAGGCAGACTAGAGTCCTCAAGTAGAAGCGACTCACAAGTCCATTGCTGATAAGTTAGGACCCATGGAATAGAGTGTATCCACACAGTGGGATATTTTTAGGAAGCCAGAATGAACGGCGTGCAGGTCCACACTACAGGGTGCTGACACACACTTGCAATAAGAAGCCGTTTGGGAGAGGCTGCAGGTCTCTGCTTCTACGGAAAATCCAGAAGGCAAAGCAGTCAAAGAACAGATGGAGGCCTCCAGGCCTGGGGCTGGGAGAAAATAAGCAAGAATCGCTAACGGTTTTTTTCCGGGGCCGGGGGTAGGGTGAAGGTGGGGCTGTTCAAAAATTGATGGCGGGGATGACAGCACAACTGTAAATATGTGAAAACACACTGAATCAGGCTCAACAACTGTGTGTGTATGTATGTCTGTTCCTGTGGGTGCAGATGCGCGCATGTGCGTGGGAGATTAAAAGACAACCACAGGTGTTGGTCCTCAGGCACTGTCCATCTTGTCTTCTGAGATAAGATCCCTCACTGGACTGGAACCCACTTTTCAGTCTAGGCCTGTTGGTCAGGAAGACTTGGGGGTCCACCTGTCTCTGCTATGCAGTCCTGAGAATACAAATAAAGACACCATATCTGGCTTTAAATAAAAGATTTTTTTAAAGTGTGTGTCTGGAAACTGAACTTGGGTCCTCTTAAATGCTGAGCCATCTCTCCAGCCCCAATCCTGGTCTTTTACCTGTGTGCTGGACTCAGACTCAGGTCCTTATGTTTGCATGGTAAATTCTTTATTGACTGAGCCATTGCCCCAGCCCTAGGTGCAACACTAGGGTTAGTTTTACGGTATATGAACTATCCCTCCATAAAACTGTCATAAAAGGGGGAGCTGCAAGGCATGGTGGGACACACCTGTGATCCCAGCACACAGGAGGTGGGAGGATCACAAGCTGCAGCCCAGAATCTGTCTCAGGCAAACAAAGCAGGAGTAGAAGCTGTTCCACGCTCATCTGCCGTGTGCCGGAGGCAGGATCACTGAATCCGACTGATCCACAAGTTACTGCCTTCAGCTCAGCAGCTGATCTGAACACTGGGCTCACAGTATCACCCTCAGAAGCCTGGCTCAGGAGAGTTCCATGGCCTTCCAACTCCTAGAGTTCGGTAACCCTGGAGAACACGACTACACCACCCCACCTCACTGGGGTGACTCCCCAGCCACTGACCTCCACACTGCTTCCAGAAAGAACCAGGGAACACAGTTCCTGGCCTTGGGTCAGAAGACCTTCTCCTGCTTTTCCTTCTGCCTCAGACTGAAACATGAATCCCTAAAATTCCTAGTTGAAACAGCAACCCCCTAGATGATTTCAGAGATGGGAGTCTTTGGGTTAGATGAGGACATGAAGGTGGAGCCTGACCAGAGGGTTACGGCCCATAAAGAGACCTTTCTGTGTTCAGGGGAGGACACAGTGAGAAGGCAGCTAGCCACCTGCAAACAAGGGAGGAGGCCCTCCCCAGAAGGAACCATGCCGGTGCCTGAACAAATAAATTAGTGTCGTGAAAGCAGCTCAGTTGTCATGCCAACTTGCCTGGATTTGGAAGGCACCCTGGGTGTGTCTTTGAGGGAGTGTCAAGAGTTTAAACGAATTTAAATGAGGGAATGTGGGTCACACCATTCCTTGGAGTCCCAGGTTGAATAAGAAAAGAAGGAAGTGGGCCCAGCACTCTGCTTCCTGACTGTAGACACAATGTGACTGGCTGTCTCCGGTGCTCCTACTGCCTCTTCCGCCATGATGGACAGCATTCTCTCAAACCATGATAATAAACCCTTCTTCTTGATTTGCTTTTGTCAAGTATCCCAGCAATCAGAAAAGTAACTAATACATTCTGGTATTTTGTTAACAGCTGCACAAAATGACCGACACACATTCCACACCCAGCCATGACCCTCTGCCCCCAAAAGGATACTGTTGCAGCTTCTGCCGCTGGTCCATGGAGCCCGAGTGATGGATGATCTTGCGCAGGCCCTGCACCCAGTGCTGAGCATCAGCTGATGACGGGGCAATGAGGTCTAGTGTATTGCGCTGGTCCTTGAAGACAATGGAGAAGCAGCGATCCTCGGGTATGTCACGGGCAAACTTCTCCAGGCCTTCTGTGCGGTGCCCCATCCTTACTTCCTGGATGTCCTCAATGGAGACTGCAGGGGGAGGGGGTCGACAGCAGAACAGACTGTGAGACAAAGGACTGTCTCTGACACAGCCAAGGCCACAAGAGCGAGGAGCCCGGCCTAGGGTCACAGCCAGACTGGGGGCTCAGACCGAGGGTCCGCTGAGAAGGGCAGGAGGGCAGGGGAGTGGAGACTAAAAGGAGGAAGGCACAGTATAGGGAGGGCATAGGACGACCCATAGTGGCAGAGTGGGAACGCACGGGGAGACAGAGGCAGAAATCTTGGGCTAGGAAGGACAGCTAGGACCTAGGTCCAGGGTCACAGGAATGAAGAAATGAGGTACCAGACGACCAGATAGAACAGGCCTCTCAGGACAACACCGTTCCGGAGCCTGGCGCCTGAGATAGGGAGAGGTCACACATCCTCCAGGCCACACTGGACTTTGGGGCCCTATAGCTATGAGAGCCTCCTGGCCCCTCTACTGACCAGGGCCAGCCCAGCAGGTTAGACACAGTGGGCTCATCATGTCCTCCTCAGGGTTTGAGAGATTACATCATTCTGTCCTGAGGAGGCTGGGGAGGGCCCCCTCCCATCACAGTCTTCTTCCAAGCTTCAGGGACAAACAAGACCTTATATGCTGCCATCCCAATGTACCCGCCACAGACTGGCTGAGAGAGAGCCAGCCTCACCCTCATGGTTCATGTGGTGCCTCCCCACGGCAGGACTGCCCCTGACACATCTTTAACCATTCGGGGTCGATCTGTGTACATCATCAAGTCCCTCGGCAAACTCCTCCTACCCAGAGGCCCCAGGGGCCTCCCCCACACCTACAGGACATGCACAAAGTGCTCTACCTGGGCCATAGGCTCTGAACAGAGGAACACGTGACTCCTGCACCATCTGCACCTTCTCTGACCCACTAGTCAGCTGAGCCACCCCAGGCCAGGAATGAAAACAGGAAGCCTGGGCCTTGGAGCCCCGGGCCCACACCTCCACCGGCCCCTGAGGGAAAGGCCAGCTGCCTCCACTGCTGATAACATTGCTGGGAATACAGGGTGGGCAGTGGGGAAGTTACAAAGAGAAAAGGAAGAATGAATGAATGGACTCAGTTTCCCCAGGGTAAGATGCCACTGATGATAAGAGCCCTGACCCTTGCCTAGAAAAAAAGTGCAAACAAGGCCTGCTAAGCCTGGGGCCTGGGGCAGCCACAAGAGCTGGAAGCAAGCCCCTCCTAGTGTCCCTGGATTCCTGCTAGCCTGAATGACAGCTGCTTTTGGGAAGGCACAGGGTGGGGCTTTCTCTTCTCCCTGCCCTCTCCAAGCACCAAGCACAGAGGCAAGCAATTCAAATGTATCCACCACTCCAACCAAAGTCCTCTGTTCCCACCTTGCCCCCATCCACCAGTAGCCAACAGGAAACCCTGTATCAGGACAGAAGCCCTGCCTGGCGCCACAGACACAGGCAAGGTCAGGGTCACTCCTGTACTGGGAGGCTTTAGCTGGGCTGGGGCAGAATTGAGTCTTAAGGTGGTTTTCTTTTGTTTTTGTGACAGGAATTCATGTTCCTAAACTGGTCTTAAACTCACTATGCAGATGAGATGACCTTGAACTTCCCATCCTCCTGCCTCTGCAGGCATGTGCCACAGCACCCAGTTTATGGAGTGCTGGGACTTGAATCCAGGACTTCGTGCATGCTAGGCAAAGGCTCTGCCCACTGAGCGACAGCTCCAGCTCTCGGAGTAATTTCTGAGACACCTCCGAGCCCCATCCTCAAACTGAGCGCACAGGAGTCTACAACTGAAGGGTCAGGAATTCATCCTTAGCAAGAGCCTGAGAGCCACACTCAGCTATAGAGTAAGTTCAAGGCTAGCTGGGGCTGTATGAGATCCTGCCCTTATAAACAAAACCAAGCCAAGCGATGGTGGCGCACGCCTTTAATCCCAGCACTCGGGAAGCAGAGGCAGGCGGAGCTCTGTGAGTTTGAGGCCAGCCTGGTCTACAGAGCGTGTTTCCAGGATAGGCTCCAAAGCAACACACAGAGAAACCCTGTCTCGAAAAAACAAAAACAAACAAACAAAAAAACAAAAACAAACAAACCCCAGGCATGGGTATACGCCTTTACAAAGATCTCCAAGTTCAAGGCCAGCCTGGTCTACACAGTGAGTTCCAGGACAGCCAATGAAGTCTCACAGAGCCCCTGCAACATTTGTGGGTATCAAGTGAAACAGAAGTTAATACTGGGTTCCTCAGTCACACTGGCCATAAGTCTAGAGCCCACTGGACTCTTGGAGCTGGTGGTTCCCATAGTGGCCCATTGTTGCAGAGTTCCATTGGAGGCACTGGTCTCTGCAAGGGACGTCTCCTCCAAAATTTTCAGGGAGCTCCTCCACCGAAGGGCATATCCTAGAACTACCACAAGGTCTCAGGGGGCTCTCTCCCTTTGCACACCCACTCCCTCAGCTTTGGGTCCCTGGGCCTTTTAGAACCTTCTAGAAAGACAGTGCCAAGCCCTGCTCATTCTCACTCTCTCTTCCCTCCCCTGCTGCAACCGAGCCTCTGATGGCTCTAGTTCCAAGAGAGATTCTGCCTCCTGAGCCCCACCTTCCAAATTGGCCACTGATATGGAAGTACCTTATCTGTCCCCGGACTTTGGGCTAGCTTTTGACCCTAACATACCTAGAACGCTGATCCACCCATTTTCTCTCCTTTACAATCACCTGGGTGGCACCTATAAGCTCAAACAACCATGCCCAGCTCCATAGCAGCTTCTGAACTGACTGTCCCCATCCGTGGTCATGGCCATGGATATTCACCTTCTTTCAACACCCATGCCCTCTGTGTCCAGCCTAACCTCAGTTTCCCTACAAAAAATTTAACTCAAATATTTCCTTGACCCCAACCAGCCTAAGATTCTTCCTTTCGGTTCTCATTTCATGCATGGCCCGCCTGTGGTCACAGTCCATGATTGGTCTCCACCCTACCTTGTGCCCCCCCACCACTACGAGACCCACGGCACTCACACAGCTGGGACTCCGGGGACCTCATGACCTTGCGGGACTCCTGCCAGATGGTCTTGCAGTCCTCTTGTAGCTTGTAGAAGCGTTCCCTCCGCCATGAGCTGGATTTGACCTTCAGGAGCTGGCTGCCTTTCAGAAGAGCCTGGAGGTCCTGGTCATCCTGTAACCCTGGGGGAGTCAATGCTGGTGAGATGCCATTTTCTGTACCCCTCTTATCAGCCCCACACTGGCCTTGCCCCTCCCCACTCTCTCAGAGCCCACTCTCACCAGCTTCACCCTCCTCAGTGGTTACTTCTCCCTCAACCCACCAGCCGGGCCCACACCCCTGCCTCCTCCTTCAGGGGAGACTTCACCCACCTAACATCATGCTTTTGCCCTGGCACTGGGTATTACTCGAACCCAGGGTATTTGTGCTTAGTGCTTGACTAATTCATGCCCCAAGACCAAACAGACACTGTGACTTGTCTAAAATCTGAATGAGCGCAGTTCAAAACCCTGTAGATCCTGGGAGGCCTGGAAATGGCCTGGCTCAGAGTGGAATGAAGGGAGCTGGGACTAAAAGATGAAGCCAAGGAGAAGCAAAAGGACCACACAGCTGGAAATGAACCCCAGCCCTCAGGCCTTCAGAGCCAAATACTTTTCGTCTCCAATGGCTCCAACGTTATCTATTCCCAGGTTCCAGCACACTTCCTGACCAGCTGTGTGATCTGGTGACTTCACGATTTACTGCCATGGGATCCCTGGGCCTCGGCTACTCCAGCCACCCTCTCCCTATTCCTGTCTTTGCCCCCAGTAGAGACAGATGAGCCCACTACGAACTACGTTTAGCCTGCTGGGACCACCCTGTCTTTCCTACTGGACCCCCACCACTGAGTGTCCCAGGTTCCTTCGGTGAACAGTTGCATTAAGGCAGAGCTCACTCAGTCTTTTCAGAAGCTGAGACAGAGCCCACAGGAAGGACAGAGCTCTGCCTGCTTGCCCGGCTCTTGCAGAGATTCGGACTGGACCTGAGTCATGGGCTCCCAAGTACTCAGTGTCCTCTCCCGTGACAGACCCAGACAGGAGACACCAGAAGCACACCAAGCCCCGCAGGAGTCACTGTCCTCAAACAGATCCTGTCCTAAAGATGATCAAGGAGCTGTAGAGACGCACATGCACTGTGGCGTGCCCACACGTGTGCACACGCGTTTATGCCCCACACAGTTCTGTAGCCAGATCTGTTCAAAGACAAACAGACACCTAGTTATGTCCCTAAAATTATGTGACCCAACAGAAAAGTGGCATCAAAATCTCCAACTGTCCTAGGCCTAGGCTGGAGAATCCCCACAAAGCTCAGGCCCTCCCTCACCCATGATGCCCCCCTCACTTCATCCACTCCGCCCATGATGCCCCCCTCACTTCATCCACTCCGCCCCTCTTACCGTCTACTCTCTATCTACAAGTCAGCTTCCTATTTCCAATGAGGGCAAAGGGCGGGGGGCAAACATCTCCACACACACACACTCCAACATCCAAAGCTTCAGCAGTCTCTCCTTCCCTCCCTGTGGCTCTGCTCCCTCCTCAGCCCTGGGGTAAGAAGTGTTGCAGAATGTGTTACTGCCAGTCCTTAGAAATGACAGTCACAAGCCACCACCTCCATCCCATGTGTCTACCCACTGCAAGAAGATGCTCTGTGCCAGTATGGGCAGCTTCCCTTTGATGTGGGGAGACCTGGAAGGAGAGAAGGACCCACACAGACAGCTCCATGTGAAGGGAAGATTAGGGAGTTTCCAGACTGTCAGAGCAGAAGGCCACCTCTGGCCTCTGCTGAGAAGGTCCCAGTGTCTCTTCTGAGGCACTACTAGGAGGGACCCCTCCTGACCACCTAGCAGCACCCTGCCTGCCCCCTGACCTGGACACGGCTAAGCAAGCTCCTGCTAACAGCTCCGATGGGAACGGGGCTGCTGGGAAGTGGAAGGCAAGCCCCTACTCTCTTGTTCTGGAAAACACCATGAAGGGATGACAAGTTCATCCTGTCCTGGAGCCAGCTTGGCCTGGTCTGTGAGGTCAGGCAGTGTTGCGGCCTCCCAGAGGTAGAGCTGAGTCCCAAGTGACTCTAGATAACTCCAGCAGGGTGACAGCTACCACCCTCCAGGAACTGGGAAATCTGGGCAGGGACCGCATGGGGTGGGAAGGGTTTCCTGAGTCTGAGGCCTCTGGGTGGCCTACCACAGGCCCCTTGTTCTCTTATCATGTAGAAAGTCTGTGGGAAGCACTCACCCAGCTCCACTCAGCCTTGGAAGGGTGGGTGGGCTATGAGCTCTGGGGTTTCATCGATCATTTCCAGGCTAGCTGTCCACAGGGAAGTGACTATGTAGAGGACAAGGAGTTCTCCAGGTGCCAGTGGGAATGCCTGGCCCTCTGTCCATGTTCCCAACGTGACGCTGGGCCCGGAACCCACGCTGATACACAGCTACACAGAGATACACCACCCGATCTGTCACTCACAGACACAACCTCACACACAGGGACACAGTACCCCACAAATGACCCATGTCTCGTGGAGTGGGCGTCACTTTTTCACACACAGGTACACTACATACTGTGCAGGAATGCTGCCGCCGTAATAACAGCAGCCGCTGTAATGATAACTAATATTTGAATAAGACACTGTTCCCAGCACATGTGTTTAATCCCCTCAACAACTCAGTGAAGAAAGGCAGTTAAGTGGCATCATTAACCCCATTTTACAGAGGGGAAATCAAGGTTGAAGGAAGAGTTGCACAGCAGAGTTGGGACTCAGAAGTAGGAAGCCTGCTCTCAGCGTCAGAGCGATGGAACATGCAGCCCCTACTCAAAGACACAGAGCCACTGGGTAACCCAATCAGAAAAGCCACACCACAGCGTTGGTCACACAGCCACATCTGTCCTAAGCAGTCACTGTCAGCTGCACACTGTCACACAGGGTTACACACGGACACCTTAGGTACCACAATGTCACACTTGGGTGTGCAACATTACAAGCCATCATCCCCATACAGTGGCGTCACGGTACCATGAGTGTGACAGAATCACTCAGCCACCCCTGGGATCACCAACTGTCACTTGCCCGGGCACTCATTTGCCCACCATCATGCTGGACCTCACTGGGTTACACAGTCATAACCCGCCGTCAGGGAGCCACACACACCCAGGGGTTAATTTGTAACCGGGAGGGGTTGGAATTAGTAGGGAGCATGGAGACTCGGAAAGGATAGTGTCTAGTGCCCCCGGTAACCACCCCACGCCCCCACACTGAAAACAACCCGCCGAAGAACCAAGCGTGCCTAATCTGAGGCTCAAAGGCAGGAGCGTCCTGTCCAGCTGCTGTGCCATTCCCCGCAGCAGGCGCCCAGTGTCCCCCGTGTGTGTCCCTTACCCAGCCTCTGCCCATTGAGCGCAGCCACCCTGCGACTCTGCTCCTGCAGGTAGAGCTCCCGGGAGCGGCTCACGCTCGGCCGCCTGCAGCTCGGGATCCCCAGGCACTGCATGGTGTCCTCCCAAGACTGCCTGGGTGAATCCTAGTTTAGAAGCCGGCAGAGTCCGGCTTAAAAGGCGGAGCCAGAACCTCAGGGGCGGGGCGGGCCCTGCCCCTAGAGGGGGTGGGCCAGACCTTAGGAGGCGGAGCCAATTGTGGGGGCGGGGCCTTGCTCTGGAGTGGTTGGAGAGAGTGGAAAGTAGGCGGAGGGAGTGCAACCAGAAACTAGGAGGCGGCACGGGGGAGGCCCGGTGTGGCCGAGGTGGCCTTGAATTCCCATCCTTGTGCCTTCACCTCTAGAGTGTCGGAAGATCAAGCGTAGCTGGAGGGTTAGGGAGGCAGAGCCTGCCAGACATAACCCGGGCCCAGAGGCTGGCAGTCACCGCCTGGGAGGTGACTTGGAGGAGTCACAGCCAGGAAGCACCCTGGAGGGAGAGGCGGAGCCCAGGAAGGGAGGGGAGGAACTTCCATTTGGGAGGGTGTGTGAGGGTGGGGTCAGGGCGGCTGAGCGCGGTACAGCCTGGCAGGGAACTCCTGCGCCAACTCTGCAGGATCGCCCAGGCACCAGTGCGAGCACTAAGCTGCGGAGGGAATCCTGGTGCCTGCAGAGTTTAACAGAGACGCGGAGATGGTCAGGCCAGCCGGGGCTAGTCCACGGAGCCCGCCAAATCTCATCCTCAATCACTCAACTGATTTGCTGTGACTAGGCCTGCTGCCTGCCGGCTGTTTTCTTCTTGGTTTCCCATTTAATCAGGGAAATTCCCAAGGTAACAGATGCAAAGGCAATTCGTTTTGTTTGTTTAGGGTTTGTTTGTTTGTTTGTTTTGAGACAGGGTTTATCTGTGTAGCTCTGACCTGGAACTCACTCTGCAGAACAGGCTGGTCGTGAATCTAGGGGTCTGCCCGGCACAAACATAGTTCTTAAAAAGAAGAAAGAAAAAAAAAATGCTGACCTGGAAAGAACTCCACAGGCTTGCCTCGAATAAATTAGAAGGACTGCAACTTTGTGCAGAGCTGTGCGGCCAGAGTCGCCGTTGTGTGTGTGTGTGTGTGTGTGTGTGTGTGTGTGTGTGTGTGTGTGTGTGTGTCCCCG